TTTTAGGTTTCTATTTCTCTTCTCTCACAATCTTTTGGTTTATTATTTTTTGTTTATCATTCCATGTCTCCACTCTGCTTGGAAGTTGTAGAGCCCCTTACTTTTTTTCTAGTGGTTATTTTAGTTATTGCCAGCAAGGAGTTGACTTCCTGGAGTCTCATATCATTAAGCACTTTTACTGTCTTGCACGACGCAAGGTTCTTAGAGTTTGTTTTACTGCTGCTCCTGACGTATACAGTCATTGTTGTTGTGTATTCTATTTTAAACTCGAGACCCTATTTTTTTATTATAGTCATTATTCATTTACCCATGTACTTATTTCCCGTATTGCCCTTCATGCTGCCCTGTATCTCTGAGTATATCTATGGGATCATTTTGTTCTTGTCTGAAGAGCATTCTCTAATGTTAGTGTAGGTCTGCTGGTGATGAGTTCTTAATTTTTGTTTCATGATATGTATAAATGATATGTTTGGAGGCTTTCTAGAATCTGTGGCTTGATGTCTTTTTTTCATTTTAGGAAAATATTGGAAATATTAGGAAAATAAAATTTTTTTTTATTTTTTTTTGTTGAGACGGAGCTTCTCTCTTGTTGCCCAGGCTGGAGTGCAATGGCATGATCTCGGCTCACCACAACCTCCACCTTCTGGCTTCAGGCAATTCTCCTGCTTCAGCCTCCCGAGTAGCTGGGATTACAGGCATGCACCAAGATGCCCGGCTAATTTTGTATTTTTAGTAGAGACAGGGTTTCTCCATGTTGGTCAGGCTGGTCTCCAACTCCTGACCTCAGGTCATCTGCCCAGTTCAGCCTCTCAAAGTGCTGGGATTACAGGTGTGAGCCACCGCGCCTGGCCAGCTCCTCTTTCTTTTGGATTCCAATTACAAGTACGTTGGACGCTTTCTCTTAACTTTCTATGTCTTACACCTTTTCCTTTGTATTTTCTAGATTGTATCCTTTTCATGCTTCACTCTGGATATGTACTTGTGGTCTGTCTTCCAGTTTAGGAATTCTTTTTAGCTTTTCCATTTTCTTACCTCTGTCTGTTGACCCCAAATTATCATCTCTCTTTGTCCAACCCATATCTTCAGGGTAACTCGGTTTAGAAAACTAGTTAATGTGGTAGTGTGATGCTTCCTAAATAACATTTGCATTTTAAAAAGAGTGACTAATGTGGGAATCGCAGGTGCTTTGGAAGAAGCAATGGAAGACACTTCAAACTCTTCAGACCGTAGTAGTCAGTTGCCTCCTCAGCTCATGCCAAAGGTTGGTTTTGCAAGTTCCCCACCGGGAGCTACAGCAAGGGTAACTGTTCCCTCCTTGCAATCCTAGCAATAGCACTGCAAGGGATCCACACGAGGAGAAATGCTAGCTGGTCTTCTGTCAATCATTGTTGTGTTTATTGAAATCATCCCATCCACCTGGACATCTTCAGTTTTTTCTCATCTGGTGTTTAATCTGTTGAATTCTTCATATCCATTTCTGCATCTTTTTAGTTCTAGAATCTCTAAATGATTCATTTTATCATTTCCAGTTCTCCACGAAGTTCTCAGTTTTGTCTATTCTTTATTTTTTTAATTTTTCTTTTTTCTTTTTTTTAGAATTCATCTCTTGCCTTGGCAGAATTAAGTCATTTATTCTTTGATGCAGCGTGTATGTCCAGCACCTCCAGTAGCTGGAATCCACAGGTGTGGTTTTTTCCTACTATTGTGGGTTTTTCTTTTTCCAGTGGCACGTTTTTCTTTTCATAGACTTTATTTTTTAGAGCAGTTTTAGGTTCTCAGCAAAATCAAGTGGAATATGTAGCTCCCATAGACCTTCTCCCCCACTGTGGCTCTGTTTGCTTTTGTTGGTTTCATTCATGTGTCTACATAGTTTTGCTTGTGTGCTCGAAATTGTATTTGAACAATTATTTTAGAAGTCACTTGAGGCCTAGGATCATACCTTCTTCCAGAGAGAATTTTAGGTTTGTTGCTGTCAGAGGCCTGGGAAACCAGCAGCTGGAGTCATTTTAATCCGGTTGTAATGGTTTGGTCTCTTCAAAGTGAAACTGCAGTTGCTGGTAGGGCCTGTCGACTTTGGCTCCCTTCTACTGTCTTTGTTTGTTTGAGACAGGGTCTCCTGTCTCCGGGACTGGAGTGTGGTGGTGTGATGTTGGCTCACTGCAGTCTTCACCTCCTGGGCTCAAGTGATCCTCCCACCTCAGCCTCCTGACTAATTTTTGTAGAAACAGGGTTTTTCTATGTTGCCCAGGCTGGTCTCAAACCCCTGAGCTCAAGCCACCTGCCTGCCTTGGGCTCCCGAAGTATTGGGATTACAGGCATGAGCCACTGTACCTGGCCTCACTTTTACTCTAATAAGGGCAGTATTTTGGGTACTAACCTAAAGAAGGGGGTCATGGCCGGGCGCGGTGGCTCACGCTTGTAATCCCAGCACTTTGGGAGGCCGAGGCGGGTGGATCACAAGGTCAAGAGATCGAGACCATCCTGGTCAACATGGTGAAACCCCGTCTCTACTAAAACTACAAAAAATTAGCTGGGCATGGTGGCGCGTGCCTGTAATCCCAGCTACTCAGGAGGCTGAGGCAGGAGAATTGCCTGAACCCAGGAGGCGGAAGTTGCAGTGAGCCGAGATCGCGCCATTGCACTCCAGCCTGGGTAACAAGAGCGAAACTCCGTCTCCAAAAAAAAAAAAAAAAAAAAAAAGAAGGGGGTCATGATGGTTACTGTTCCCATAGCCCTCAAGGTTGGTTAAAAGTTCCTCTCAGCCAACTGTGGAATGATCACTACCCTCTCTTGGAAAAGCAGACCTAGATGCCTTTGTCCTTCCCTATTCCAGCAGTTCTTCCCTGGCTTGTTAGCTCTGCCTTCAAGCAGATATTTTTGTCTAGCTTTGTTAGTTGGCCTCAGCAGTTGGATTGGCCTCAACTACTTATTCTAGCATTACGTGAAGTGGAGGCCTGATCTCTTCATTTTATGACACACACACACACACCAAAATCTGATACCAAAATCTGAGGATGCTCAAGTCCCCCAGTTAAGTTCTCCGTATCTGTAGATTCTGCATCTGGAATTTGCAGACATCAAGGGCTGACGTGTGTGTGTGTGTGTGTGTGTGTGTGTGCGTGCGCGCGCGCGCGTGTGTGTGTGTGTGTGTGTGCGTGTGTGTGTAGTTCTGCCCATCTGATGATTAGAAAATACTTCATTGTTATAATTGGCATTTCCTTGATTTATAGTAAGATTGAATTTTTCATATATATATATATTCTTTTAATTTCTGTGGTCTACTTTTGGGGATAGTTTTTTTTTTTTTTATATTGATTTCTAACACTACATATTCTTGACATTTATAGTCTGTTACATGTTGCAAATATTTTCTCCTAGTCATTCATTTATCTTTTGCCTTTGAATTTTGACTGTATCATGTAAAAACTTTCCATTCATTCATTTCTGTCCTGTTTATTTGAGATGGGGTCTTGCTGTGTTGCTCAGGCAGGTCTTGAACTCCTGGGCACCAGTGATCCTCCTGCCTCGGTCTCCTGAAGTGCTGGATTACAGGTGTGAGCCACTACACTTGGTCCCACTAAAGCTTTTTAATTTTATGTTTTCAATATTTAGTAATTCTTTTGGACTGGGATTTTTTTGGTACTCTGAGACATCTCTGATTTCCTAGTTAACTGAATAGCGTGTAAGGATAGGAGCTGCTCATTTCCTTCTGCTATGAAAGGTTTTCTCGTGCCCCAAGAACAGTCTGTAGGCCTGAGCTAAATCTGTGCTTTGAGGTTCTCTCCACTCCCTCCCACCCTGTCCTGCCCTTTGGCAGGTGCAGCTTGGTTGTTTTCTAAGACCAGATCTTCCCGGTTGTATGCAATCGAGGGGAGCAGTTAAAAGGGGGACAGGAGATGGTCTGTCATCAGTAGAAATATTAAGCCAGTGATGTGTGAGGCCCAATTTTTTTTTTTTTACAACTGTTTATATTTGTGAAATAAAAAAATATATTTTTTTATATTTCAAAAAAATATTGAAAACCATATATGAAAGTCTAATGAAGGACGGGGAGAGAGTACCTCACATTCTACTCTATAGAGGAGACAGTTGTGAGCATTGTGGTGGCTGTCCTTCACCTCCCTCCCTGCCTGTGTCACACACGTGAGCATGTGCACAGCTTTATATACGTCGATTCTGACAGTGTGGTGTGTGTTGAGCTGTCCCTGGCCCGTATGGATGACAGTGTGGTGTGTGTTGAGCTGTCCCTGGCCCGTATGGATGACAGTATGGTGTGTGTTGAGCTGTCCCTGGTCAGTATGGACAGACCCACATTGCTTGGAGCATGTGTTGAAGAGTGAAGATGTCTGAGCCAGCACACCGGGTTTGAGTCCCTGCTCTGCCATTGACGAGCAGGGCACAGCAGACAAATGATCTCTGTGTCTGTTGCTTGTCTGTAAAGTGAGGTGCCAGCTGTGCTGCCCTGCTGGGCTGCTGTGAGGGTGGAGCGAGTTAACACATGCACAGCCTGTAGAAGGGTGGCCGTTTGCAGTTGTCTCTGGTGGCTGTGTGACGTTCAGGAGGGATTGTCATTCTAAGCAACGCCTTGCCGAACACCCCATACCCTCTTCTTGGAGGTGTCGAGTGCTGCTTGCTCGATACCCTGAGTGTGGCCAACATCCAGGGGCTCAGGTGGCTGTTTTTCCTTCTAAAGGCTGACCATGGTGACCTTGCTGAAGACGGATCATCCGCTTCAGGGTCTGGAGTCAGGGTCCCACACTGCTTGCCTTGAGAAGTCAGGGGTGATGCCAGCCTCTGAGCAGCCCTGTGGGGCTGAGAGCTGGCCTAGGAGCTCTTACAGGGAGACCTCCTGACACCCCTGCTCACTGTGGTCCATGCTCCTAATCCCACCCTTGGGTTCTGAGGCAGGAAGCGGTTTCTGCACGTGGCTAGGAATGAAGGTTGCGTTGAGGGCAGAGGCTTCCTGTGAGACCTGGAACTGATCTCTCCCTCCCCTGCAGGTGCAGCAGTACCGCGTCGCCATGACTGCCAAGGACTGCTCCATCATGATCGCGCTGTCCCCCTGTCTGCAGGATGCCAGGTGAGGCGCCCACTGCATGGCCCATGGCCTGGGTCTAACAGGGGCTTATGGACAGTTGGTTTTCCCATATTTAGAGATTCCTTAATGGGATTTTGACCTCCTTGGCCTACATGACATCATGGGGCTATTAACTCTTGCCCTCTAGAAGCTTGTAATTCAGTCAAAACATTTATGGAGCATAACTCAAAAGGATTGTTATTACATTGAAAGTTACTGTTTTCTAAGAAAATGCTTAAAGAGCTCAGAGACAGCATGGAGAGTGAGCTGCCCATTCCATTCTCTCAAAGCCAGCCCCGCCACTGCTGCCAAGGCCTGAGCTGTGTGGGTGCCTGCGGGCTTGTTCCTGGGTCTCCTGCCGGGCAGCGTGGCATGCCTGCTTTTCACCACCACAGTCATTTGAACACCTGTGAGGCGCACATTCATTCTTCTGCTTCCTCCTCTGAATAACCAGCCTGTATGCAGCCCCTCTCCCTAATGTCACTATTTTTGTCCAGTCCCCTCTCACTGTTTCTGGGAATTTGGGATGAAACTGATAATCTCATAGTAATCAGACAGCATCTTCAGCACTGATCTTCAGGGGTGCCAAACCCTGCACCCGGTATCTGTGGAATGTTCCACATTCTTCTAACATGTGTTCCTGGGTCAAGATGACCTTGGTTGCTGGCTGCCGGCCACACATTTTCCTGGTGCTTTTGAACTAACAGTTCCCAGGATTCCTGTTCCCTGGCAGGCACAGAATTCTCTACTTTCCGGTGTGAAAATTGAGGAACATTATAAGACATAACTGAAGTAGAAAAAAGGTGATTCTATTTTGTTGAAAACTCCTGTTATCCCCTAAGAAAACACGTACAGGACTAAGTTATGAGGAATTCCTCAGCTGGATTAAGCTGGTGTTGTTTGATGAGAAAAAACCCGCAAAGACACCACTGTTCAGCAGCCCTCCTGACCAAGGATGCAGCTGGGAGGTGGAAACGTGCTTGGATGCAGGCGCTCAGGTGGGCTGTGAAAGGCCGCTGAAGGCCGGTGTGCTGCTCACCTCGTCCAGCACTGCGAGTCTCTCAGTGCCCAGTCAGTGATGTCAAAATGGAAATGCAGCATGTGGGGAGAGCTGAGGGCCTAGGTCCTTACTGTAGCCTGCCCAACTGCTCAACAGAAACCGACACTGGGAGGGGAGGGGAGGACGTGTCCCGAAGGCACTGAGCCACAATGGCTTCCGAGGCCTGGGGTGAAGGCACAGGAATCATCATGCACAAACCACTGTAGCCAGGCCCTTCTCAACAAAGGGAGAAGATCTCAGAAGGCTTCTCCGAGAACATGAGAACATGACGTGGTGGGGCTGGGCCTGCTTCAAGGAAGGTGTACTCAGTGGCTGCACCCGTAAGTTCCAGAGACTGTGGCGCTCTAGAGGCCTAGGGACAAGCTAAGGCCGGGACTTATCATGAGTCATCCTGACATCTTGAGATGCCTGCTAGACGTGAGACTAAATTTAGATCCCTAGACTTTAATTTACAGCTCACAGATAGATTGACCACATTGAAACTTCTTATACTCCTTAACGTAAAGGCTTCTTCAGCTCTGCGCTACTGTTTCTGCCCTGGCATAAAGCAAAATGTCTAAAGTCGGATCTGCCTGCCTGTCACTGCAGAGGTTTGTCCCTTTGGGAATTTGGAACTGTGGAGAGAGTTGCCACAGCCTCCCGCGCCTAAACCCTGCTGCTCCCCTCGACCTCCCGTCTGAAACAGAGCACGGGCAGCCTTGGCTTCTCCACCCCAGTCCCCAGCACCCTTGGAGGCTGCTTGTCCCCTGGCGACCCCCAGTGGGTCAGTGTCCTGGAAAGCAGCCTTCCAGGCAAGGGCAGCCCCCGCCCCCTGCAGCCATAAGGCCACCTGAGACTTGTTCTCCAAGGCTGCCAGAGGGCACACTTGTGGCACAAGGGACATGTGTGTCCCTGAGAGCCTCTTGCCCAGTCTCGGCCTCAGGACTGCTGAGGAGAAGAGCATTTCTGTGTCAGGAGCTGGTGCCCACTGGTCACTGCCATTGGCTCCCATGGAGCTTGTGGTGGGCCCAGGTAGTCAGACCCACCCCCCAACCCCCACGCCCCAAGGAGCTGCCTGGAACATCCTGCCTGCCTTTACACCCATGGTCTTGTCAGGTGCTGCTTCTGAGAAATTGAGGTGTCCTTTAAAATATGTAGCCCTAGTCACGGGCCGGGGATGTGACTCTTCCAGCCCAGCTGCACCAAGCTTGGGTCTCAGGCCTCAGAACTTAGTGCTCCCCTGGGCTTCAGTGGTTCTCGCAGTAAAATGTAGCCCCTTTGGACAACCTGCAGGCGCCTTCCAGCTTCTGGAGTGAGGCTCAAGACCTTAATTTGAAAATGAGTTATTTGCTGTTTACTATTCAGGCAACAATAGCTACTGACCCCAGCAACTGAGTCAGGGATTCATTTTTCCTACACAGGATTCTGGGACAGGGCGGGAGAGGGCGCCAAGGCCGTGGTGAGCAGGGTCAGAGCAGGGACATGCTCAGCAGTGTTTTCTTTCCTCGGCGGGAGCTTTTGAAGTTGGGCTTGGGTTTGTTTCTGAATCTCGAAGAGTAGTAAACGGGGGGACACCGGAACCCAGAATACTTCTGGACTGAACTGAGCTTAGGCCACTTATTGAGCCAGTGACATGAGTGCTGTGTGCTAGTGCTCTGAGACGAAGCGGGACACACAGCAGTCGAAGCTTAGGACTCGGAGATCCTGGATGTGTTTTTCAGGGCAAGTAATTATTCACATCTTGTTAGAAGCACACGACTATTCTGATGTTTATTAAAACCAAAAACTAAGCCCTGGGGAGCAAAATACAGAGGACTAAAGATAAAGTTTGAGAATAAAATGAGAAACCAGATCTCTCCAGTGTGAACCACACAAAGGAGTCTGCGTTTCTCAGCAGACAGGAGAGGCACAGAAGGAGAAGTCTTGTCGACATTTCATCCATTTGGCGCTGGAACAGCCAGATCTACTTTTTACTTTTTCTTGGGTTTTGTAATACTTGGCTCATGATAAAGTGACTTTTCAGCGTTCGTTTATACCACTGGGCTGGGGGAACATCACTCACATGTTCCACGTAATCGCTTTTCCATCTTTCAGTCCTTTAACCCTCTCTCGCCTGGTATGATGGGGTGCACTGGCCCGAGGAAGCTTTGCGTGCTGGTACACCCAGCCGGCACAGACAGCTGTCATGCACAGAGGCACCAAACGGGTGATTTTCGTGAGCTGGGGTGCAAGGACATTCATGTCTCGATTTATCTAACTTTGCAGAAGTCGAAGAAAAAAACATAATAAAAACATATTAGTTGAAAGAAGGAAGGAAAGGAGAGAGAACAGGAGGGAGGGAAGTGAATTGGGAGGCTTGTGTATCCTGAAATGGTATTTTTTTACTTGCAGCTCTGATCAAAGGCCTGTCGTCCCTTCATCGAGGTCCAGGCTTGCCTTCTCCGTGTCTGTGCTGGACCTTGACCTCAAGCCCTACGAGAGCATTCCCCATCAGTATAAACTGGACGGCAAGATCGTCAACTATTATTCAAAGACTGTATGTGCCAAAGACAACGCCGTGATGTCGACTCGGTTCAAGGAAAGTGACGATTGCACATTAGTTCTCCACAAGGTCTAACTCTTTCCCTGCAATGTCTTTGAAACTTGAACATAGAATGTGAAGGTTGAATGATAGAGCTATTTTCTGTTGTGTTGGGTGACCTTTGGTTGTGAATGTTTTTGCTTTTAACCCCTGTTGAGGTGGGATTGCCTCTTGGAGAAATGGAATTGAAGAGCACTAGAAACATCTTCCTGGACAAGGAATGTAGGACGTGAGTACTGTGTCCCAGGAAGCTGCTCACATTCTTAAAATGGAAGTGTCCGTTAAGCCCTGGGGAGACCCTCTGGGTAGTTCTTCCTTCCCACCCAGGGCTCATGTCTGATTCTCTAATGCAAAAAGCCTTATTCTAAGACCCAAGCTTTGGATCTGCTACCACCAGACTCCTAACATAGAAAACTTGAATTATTACATACATTTTACAGTTTGGACTTTTAAGAAAACATGGATACTACTGGAACTTTCCCCAGCTGAGTTACATGGTCACTTTTTCAGAAAGTGCAAGCCACATATCAACACAGGTTTTTAGGTGGTTCCCTGCTGCAGAGCGTGACCTCGTGTGGACACCAGTTCTGAGCAGTGTAGACTCAGGGTCCCTGTGGAGGTGCTGAAGCCCACGGCTCCACGCGGGGTGGCAGGGAGCGCGAGACTCAGGTCAGGATGGACACCACTCATGCAAGCATTGACTTTTTTTTTTTTTCTTTATGATTTTATTTTTCACATGAGGGGGAGATGTGTTCTTTCCCACTGGAAATTGCTGCTGTAGAAGCTGGAGGTGGAGCTGTGGCTGGCTGAGCTGCTGTGGCCGGGCTGGGCAGTGTGCCCCAACAGCTCAGTGCTTTTCTGACACTCCGGTGTTTGGGGTGATTGAGGAGCGAGTTTTCTCTTCCTCCCAGACTGAGTTCCTCCCTCGGGTTTGGCTTGAGACGTGTTGCGTTGTTGGGCCCCGTGGCCTCTCCCTGTCCGGCTGCCACAGGCCATGCTTCTGGAAGGCGAACAGCTCCTGGCTGCTGCCGAGAGGGTTCTTGTTGGGGTCACCAAAGTGTGCCCAGCTGCTATGAAAAACGTTGGGAATCTTGGTTTCAGTTTTTTATTGTATGCTAGGTTGTACAGACTGATTATTTATATCATCGTTTTGAGGGACTAATGGAGGCTTATTGTAACATATAATATTAGTGAAACCATGGAATTATATGAAAATGATACATGAGAAATAAGGAAACTATTTTGCTGATTGTAAATTTTTGTGGGAAATTTTGTGATAACCTGAGAATTATACTTGTTTGAATCAAGGCAACTCTTCTAGAATTTATTGTTCAATTCTGTCCTAATATTTACTTCTAATTTTATTCTATACTCAGAGGTGCGAAAAGATACTTAGACAACTGGACACCTTTACTGTTTTCTTCTCACTTCGAATGACATTGTCTCATACACAAGTGTCCTGTGTGCTGGCATGGGGGCTTTGGAGACTGCACATAAGCGAAGTGGACAGAGCTCATGGCAACGACCGGCAGGCTCTGGGAAGTATGGAGGGAAGTGGCCGTGAATACTGTCTTGACCCAAGGGAGTTCACTGTTGCTGGGCTGGGGCTGGGGAAGCCTTGTTCCGGATGATTCTGCCCACTGTCACAGTGTGTGAAGGACACTGGGTCTTGGGTTTAAGTGCACATGTGAGGGAACCCTACCCCAATGGGAAGGCAGGCTGGGCTCTCTGCGTCCGTCAGGGCCGCAAAAGTTACTGCCTAGCACAGGGCCCAGACAGGGCTGGACTAGACACGATGAAAATACCCTGTATTGAAGAAGGGAAAACAGATGAAGACCCCCATTCTGTCTTGGCTGCCACGAGCCTGGGCTGTGAGGATCCCCTGAGCTGCAGGCGCCACCGCTGTGGACGTATTTCTGGCCCCTCTCGGAAGCTGCTGCTCCTGCTTAGTTGAGGCTCCATGATGGCCTTGATTGGTTTGAGACAACCCTAGTTCACAGATCCTAACGGTGCTAATGGGTGACTGATGAGATCACGGTTCTGACGGCACATCTGGGACTGTCGATGTAGCGCTTCGGCTCTGCACAGGTTCTGTCATAAAGGACCTTATTCCTTGCACCCTGGCCCAGGAACAGTGCTGTCTTTGCTGTCTTAGGACATTCTTGTTTTGAAGCTGACAGCTCCATTTTCTTGTGGAAGACCAAGAAGAACGTCAGGACTTGCTGGGACTGCCTCACAGTGGAGGTGGCAAGGAGTGTGGGCGTGGCTCCCCGGGCCACTAACGAAAGTTTAAAAATGAAGTGCCATAGGCATCTGTCTCCAGAGCCCCCAGGACGCAGGAACCAGGATAAGGTTGGCTTCTCCCAGCTGAGCAGTGTGGCTGCCACGTCACGGTGGACTCGGTGTGAGGCCGAGGTGGGTGGGGGACTGGGTCCTCCCCACACGTCTGAGGACACACAACCACTCGGTATGTTTTCTCAGATGTTAAGCTTATTTTTATAAAACACATTGTACATGTCACTTTTATTTGGCATTTTATACTTAAGTAACTATTTATTTTTCATGTCATGAGAGTTTCTATAGAATGTGCCTTAACTGCACAGAAGACAGGTCTTCAGGGTGTGGTTTCCAAGTGGAAAATAGTAAATGTTTATATTGGGTAAAGTCACACGCACCTCTGCTCAGCATCTTAACCCTCCCCGTTCACTGTTTCGGAACTAGCCGTTCTGCTCTGCACGAAGCGATTTTATCAGGCTTTCCAGAGCAGCTTCGATTCCAAGCACTCCTAGCAGGGTTCGGAAGCTGAGAGGAGCGGTTTCTATGGCTCTGTTCTTGTCCAGCTCCAGGGCTATAAAGAAAACATTAAACTAGGTAAGAAACTTCCAGGTGGCGGCTTTGGTGTTGTGTTTTCTGCTGGTGTGGACCTCACCAAGAACCCACCCCCCTCCCGACTGCCTGCTTGGAATGGGACGTGCTAGGGATAGGCGAGGAGGAGAGACAGAGTGTGAGGCGTCACCTACGGCTTGAGGCATATTCCCTTGTGCATTTAGCCTGCGGGCCTGAGGGGAGCAATCCCTTTTCGTGTTCTTTTTCAGTGATTATTGATGGTTAAAATATTTAAAACTTGATAGAAAAGTACATTAATGAGATTTCTAACTTTTGATTCTTGCCCTGTGAAACCCAGAGGAAGTAGGCAGCTTTGCTGGGCATGTTGAGAAGGCACCTAAAGCAGCTACACCCAGGGACCCTACCTCGCTGTGGGACTTTGGTGAGAAGATCCAGCTTTGGAAAAACTTTCCCATCTTCATCTATTTGTATCCTCCAAACAATTACTAATTCAAACCTGAAAAAGTGGTAAAACACATCGTTATGTGCTTTTTGAAATCTGGCTAAACGATTAGCAGCCATGAGTCACGCCTGGTCTCCGTTTCCCCATGCTGGGCTCCCCTGCTCCTAGAAACCCCGACGCACAGCAAAGAAGAGGCATGGTCAGTAGCACAAGCAAATGGAACCAGGACCACAGGAAGGTGCTGCTCTGTACCCACTGCACTGGCAAACATTAGGCCAATACCAGTCAGGTACAGAACATGGAGCAACAGAAACTTCAGAATTACTGGTAGGAGCAGACATGGACCAGCCACTTTGGAAATAATCTGCATTGACAGAAAGCTGAATGTGCATCCACCTATGACCCAGGAATTTCATTTCTAGGCATTTGAACCCAGGACAAGCTTGTGTACTGTGTGCCAGGGGTGTGAGCCAGAACGAAGAAGCCACATGCTTTAGAGCTGAAGAGCACAGAAAGACACTGTGTATGAATCCCTCCCAGAGGATGAGCAGCGAAACTGCGCTGCAACTGCTCATGATCCTAGAGGAAGTGAAGGGTGACAAAGGCAAGTCCCAGAAGCCTGCATAACGACCACATGATTTTAAAGCTTGGAAACCAGTGAGTTGAGGCATTTACACACAGGTCATAAAAGTACACCCAGATGGATACATGTGCACACATGCACGCACCAAGGGAAGAGAATGGAGAACACGGCATGGGCCAGGGCAGTGCCTGGGACTGGTGGAGGGATTGGCTGTGCTGTTGGGGCACTGAGCCTGTCCTCCTGTTTCTTCTCATTGCTTGGCTCCTCAAGGCTTTCCACTCATTCTCCCCTATTTCTGAAGTAACAGCAGATTCACAAGCATCTCCACTTTCTCCCAGTCTCCCTTCCATGGTTCTCTAAGGATCCCGTAGGGAAACCATCACTGGCAGGCCCCAGGACTGGCATTTTCCCCCTGCGGCTCAGCACATCCTCCAGAGCTCCAGCTCCCCACACCCCCACGCTGGGGTGTATCTGCTGGAACCACTGATTCCTCCAACCGATGACCTTTGGTTCTCGGTTAGGTGGTTTACTACTTAGAATCTTTGTTTTAACAGCAAATGGGAGGCCCTGTGGCCTGTGCAGACTCACCCTGGCTGGCTGGCACTGCGGATCACTATGGAGGGGGAGGAGGGCCCCTCTGAGAGGTGCACGGCATCTGGGTACTTTTCCTGCATGGGGAGAAGAAATTGTTACAGACAGTTCCATTGGTGAGGGGCGAGGGGCCATGGGAGGGGCATGGGGTGCCGTTCCTGGTATCTGGCGAAAATCAGCGTCCCAGTGTGCGCACAGCATCCACGGGCGCCGACTGCCCCTCCTGCCCTTGCCGTCACACACGTCTGTCCCACTGTAGGTCTCTACACAGCCACACAGCCTCCAAGCTCCTATCATGAACATTGTACATAACCACTCTACAGCTGTATTCTCATCTCACAGGTTTCCCCACACACCTTCCTTCTGAGATGGCTCCTTGGTCTGTCCTTGTCCACGACAACCTGGACAGTCTAGGGAGGACGGGTCAGAGGATGCCCCAAGCAGATGTGCCAGGCTTCTTGCTGGAAAGCAGCTGTTTTAGCATCTGACCTGAAAAGCCCTTTGAACTGAGGCTCCTTGAGGGCTGTGGCTGGGCCTGGACGCTCCTCGCCTGTTGGTTCTCAGGACTCACCCCAGTGGCGCCCAGCCCACACACCGTCCTGGGCATGGACAGGAGCCCACCCTGGTACCCTCACTGTGCCCAGTGGCGGCGCAGCTCCCACTGCATTAAAGGAAAGGTGAAAGCTTCACCAAATCATCTTTGTGATGAGATGGCATTTTAAGGTCAAAAGCCCTGAAAGCAGGGAAATCAAATGGAATCTCACAGATACCTAGGTTTGCAGTTCTGGAAGAGTCTGTTTTACTCCATGGGCTGTGAAAATTCTGGACATGTCTGCTTGTTTCTATTCATAGCAGCACCCAGTAGCCTCTGGCTATACCAGAACTGACCTGCGAATTTAGATCATGAAACCACAACACAGCTTACTTACTGGAACCTGAACAGAGGATACACATTCTTAGCTGATAAGAGTAACGGTGGCCCCGTCCTCTCAGTTCTTAAAAACTTGTCTTTTTGGGCCAGGCGCAGTGGCTCACACCTGTAATCCCAGCACTTTGGGAGGCTGAGGCAGGTGGATCACAAAGTCAAGAGATCAAGACCATCCTGGCCAACATGGTGAAACCCCGTCTCTACTAAAAATACAAAAATTAGCTGGGCATGGTGGCGGGCACCTGTAGTCCCAGCTACTCAGGAGGTTGAGGCAGGAGAGTCGCTTGAACCCAGAAGGTAGAGGTTGCAGTGGGCTGAGATCATGCCACTGCACTCCAGCCTGGGCGACAGAGTGAGACTGTCTCAAGAAACAAAACACACACGCACAAAGGTATCTTTTTGTCTGCTCTTGTGAGAACACACTGTAGGTCAGGGTGACAGGAGACTCACAGTAGGCTCCGCCTGAGACGTCGAGTTCCTAGGGCCACTCTGACAGATGTACTTTCCTTTCTGTCCTCTCACAGCGACTGATGCAGAAAGGGAAACCTGGGGGTGCTGCTTAAGTCGCAAGCGAGCACTGCCGCGATTAAAAGTGCTGTGGCCTCCCCAGGCCTTAGGGAGGTGTCCCCTGAGAAGCATCCAGCCTAACAGATAGAAGACACAAGACAAAGGAGGAGGCTGGAAAGGCAGACAGGGCCTTCCTGCCGCTCAGAGACTTGCCAGATTGAACCAGATCAGCTCCGCTGAATGAGGTTGTGTGGGGACAATGGCATGACAAAGCTTTTAAAGGAAGCAGCCCCTGCATCACTGAGCTCTTGCCAGTGTGGGAGGCCTGCACCCTGTGCATGTGGGCCCAGCGCAGTGAGAATGTATCCCAGCACCAGCTGCACCCGCCAGAGGCTGAGAGGGGCCTGGTGGAAGCTTACAGATAATTACTAACTTCAGCACAACAGTTTCCATAAGAAAATGTATACCTAAGTGATTTAAGTGGAAAGTGTTGGTTGATTTTTAAACCGCAGTCTCTTCCAAATTAATCACAACTACATGAGGACCGTAAGGGAGAGCCTGTGAACGTGGCAGCTCAGCTTCCAGGCTGGCTCAGCGGCAGCACTTGGGACTCATCAGGACGGCTGGGGCCTGGGCCAGCTCCAACGTGGGGCCTGAGGCTCAGCCTCCAAGCACAAGGGAGCAGATGGAGCAGCTCTCTGCCTTCTGGGCCTCTCTTCACCTCCCCTTGTCAGCAAAAAGGGGTTTAAAAGGGATGCTTTCACTAAAAAGTTAAAGCGTATTTGACTCCTTTTAGTTTTTAAAATACAGTCAAAGGTAGAAACACGGGCATTAGGAAAAGATCAGGCATTCAGTGTGTGTTTCTGGTAGATTTTCGTGGGACTGTGTGCAAAGGTTCTTTTTGTAGAAGTTAACAATGCTCCATTCATCTAGCCAAGGTAACGGTCACTGGTAACTTGAAATAGAAAGGATGGGTCTCATTGACAGACATGTACAGGTGGGGAGAGAAGATGGAAAAGCTGTGAATATGGTTACATTAGTTATATACAATACAACTCAATACAGAGTGGGCTTGAGGTCTTTAGGCCTAAGGTCAGCACATCTCAACAGCAGTCGATTTTAATAAATGACTGGGCCGGGTGTGGTGGCTCACGCCTGTAATCCAGGCACTTTGGAGGCCAAGGCGGGCGAATCACCTGAGGTCAGGAGTTCAAGATCAGCCTGACCAACATGGTGAAACCCCGTCTGAAAAATAACTAAATAAATAAATAACTGTATTTGACGTGGATAAAAGATGACTAAATCAGCAAGAAAGAGTTAAGACAAACATGCTCTGATAAGGAAGAGATATGTCCCATATGTTTTCTAATGCTTTCCATGACAAATAGTTACAAAAAGTGAATTGGAAAATCGTTAAGCCTTATCTGGAAAGCTCCTTAGATGTGTCACATTTAAAACCAAGGCCCGGCCGGGCGCGGTGGCTCAAGCCTATAATCCCAGCACTTTGGGAGGCCGAGGCGGGTGGATCACGAGGTCAAGAGATCGAGACCATCCTGGTCAACGTGATGAAACCCCGTCTCTACTAAAAATACAAAAAGCATTAGCTGGGCATGGTGGTGCGTGCCTGTAATCCCAGCTACTCAGGAGGCTGAGGCAGGAGAATTGCCTGAACCCAGGAGGCGGAGGTTGCGGTGAGCTGAGATCGCGCCACTGCACTCCAGCCTGGGCAACAAGAGCAAAAATCCGTCTCAAAAAATTAAAATTAAAAAAAAAAAAACCCAGAGAAGGAAGGCACCTGGCTGGGCCCTTGTGGGACAGTCTTGGACACATGGCTCTTCCTAGTGCACCTGAGGGACCTGCACACCCCTGAGAGTTCTATCTTATTAGGAAAAGGAAGGGGACACCTGTGCTTCTGTGGATATTGTCATGAAGCTGGTTATTTGGGGGCAGCTGTTGGGAGACCTCGTTGTGCACACTAACTGGTTGGCAGGCGCTGGCGCTTCCCCTCTGGAGCCCCCAGCCATCCACAGGAAAACTTGTCCTAAGCTAGAAATGCTGAGGCAGTGATTCAAGTGGGTGTTTGTTCAGCTGCTTGCCATATGCGGGGAGTCTGCATCTGAGAGCTCTCCTGGTGTTTATGATAGAAAGATGGTGGCTGTGAGAATGTTGGCAATTTGATATCCAGCCCCAGTTTTACACCTGAAACCCGCTGTGCTGTTGCAGTAGTTGCTGGATGCTAGTCCAAAGGGAACAGAATTTTTAGCAGGGCTTTACAGAAAACCAACCTTGTATTATGTTTCAGTGCAGTACCAAAGAGGAATGCTATGTCTCTCACTTAAATGAGAAACCTTGAATCCTGAGTTTAAGTCTACCCGTGGGTGTCCACAGATATGTTAACTCATTTTGTGTTTTCCAAAAATTATGTCTGGCTTATTCAATGACTTTTAAAAAATTGAGATAAAATTTATATAAATTATATGAGACACAACTCCTTTAAAGTATATAATTTAGTGGGTACTAGTATATCCACAAGGTGGTGCAGCCGTCACCAGTTTCTAACTCCAGCACATTTCGTCACCCCCTAAAAAACCCTGTGCCCTTTAGCTATTGCCCCTAGTCCCCTAACACCCCCCTCCCAGCGCAGCCATAAGCAACCAACAGGCTACTTTCTGTCTTGGTTTCATTTGTATTTTAGTAACATTTTCTGTTTTGAAAGATACTCTGGTCTATAGAGAGATGACATCAGTGAGGTCACACCGTGGCATAAAATGCTGGCAAAACTCACCCTAGACTCCTCAGTAACTGGCACTGGGCCAACTGGATATCCACATGATAAAAAAATGAATTCCAATGATTACTGCACACCAAATACAAAAAATTTAATCATAGAAATGTAAGGGCTAAAACTAAAACTTCTCTATTCAAGACATTTCATACAAATGGAATTATATAACACGTGGTCTTTTATGTACCACATTTTGTTTGTCCAGTGATCAACTAACAGACATTTGGGCAGTTTTTACTTTTTGGCTATTTGATTTTTTTAAATGTTATTATTTTTGTAGAGACAGGGTCTCATTGTATTACCCAAGGCTGGTCTCAAACTCCAAGGCTCAAGCAGTTCTACTGCCTCAGCCTCCCAAAGTGCTGGGATTACAGGCATGAGCCACTGTGCTTCACCCTTTTTTGGCTTTTTGAAATAATGCTATGAACATTTTTGTATAAGTTTTGGACATACATACATGTTTTCATTTCCCTTGGTTATATATCTAGGAGTGGGGTTTCTGGGTCATATAATAACTCTCTATCCACTGGGGAGTTGCCAAACTGTTTCCCACAGTGGCTACACTGTTTTTATAATCTCACCAGCAGTATATGAGAGTTCTGATTTCTCAGTGGCCCCATCAACATTTTGGGCATGAGTTGGTATCTCACTGTTATTTCGAGTTATTTCCTTTTCTCTTATGTGCTAATTGGCCATTTGTATACCTTCTTTGGAGAAATGTCTATTCAGATCTTTTGCCAATTTTTTTTTTTTTTTGACAGAGTCTCACTCTGTCTCTCAAGCTGGTGTGTGGTGGTACAGTCTTGGCTCAATGCAACCTCCACCTCCCAGGCTCAAGCAATTCTCCCACCTAAGCCTCCCAAGTAGCCGGGACTACAGGCGCATGCCACCACATCTGGCTAATTTTTGTATTTTTTTTTTTTTGTAGAGATGGGGTTTTGCCATGTTGCCCAGGCTAGTCTTGAACTCCTTGGCTCAAGTGATCCACCTGCCTTGGCCTTCAAAGTGCGGGGATTACAGGTGTGAGCCACTACGCTTAATTCCTTTGCCTATTTTTAAATTGGGTTATCTTTTAGTTATTGAATTGTAATAGCTCTTTTTATATTCTAGAACAAGTCACTTACCCAATACATGATCAAAAACGTTCTCTCATTCTGTTAGTTATCTTTTTACTTCTTTAATGGTGTCACTTGAAGTGCAAAGTTTTTCATTTTGATGAAGTCCAATTTAAGTTTTATTCTCTTTGCTTTCTGCTTGTGATTTTGATGTCATAGCTAAGAAACTATGACCTAATTCACAGTCACAGAGATTTACATTTATGTTGAATTCTAGTTTTACATTTTTAGCTGATAAAGTTAGGTCTTTGATCCAATTTGAGTCCATTTTTATATATGATGTGAAGTAGGGGGTCCAGCTTCACTCTTTTGCCTGTGACTATCCAGTTGTCTGAGAACCAATTGTTGAAAAGATTCTTCTTTCCCTCATTTAATCATCTTGAGTTCATTTTTATTTTAGTAACATTTTCTGTTTTGAAAGATACTCTGGTTTGGCCAGGTGCAGTGGCTCATGCCTTTAATCCCAGCACTTTGGGAGGCCGAGGCAGGTGGATCACAAGGTCAGGAGTTTGAGACAAGCCTAACCAATATACTGAAACCCCATCTCTACTAAAAAATGCAAAAAAAAAAAAAAATTAGACGGGCATGGTGGCATATGCCTGTGGTCCCAGCTACTTGGGAGGCTGAGGCAGGAGAACTGCTGGAAACTGGAGGGGGCGGACGTTGCTGTGAGCCAAGATCACACCACTGCACTCCAGCCTGTGTGACAGAGAAAGACTCTGTCTCAAAAAAAAAAAAGATACCGTGGTTTATAGGGAGATGACACCAGTGAGGTGAGAGATGACATCAGTGGCATAAAATGCTGGCAAAACTTACCCTAGACTCCTGAGTAGCTGGCACTGGGCAAACTGGATATCCACATGTAAAAAAAAGAACTTCAATGCTTACTGTACACCATATACAAAAATTTAATGAATCATACATAGAAATGTAAGGGGCTGGGCACAGTGGTTTATACCTGTAATCCCAGCACTTTGGGCAGCCAAAGGTGGGTGGATCACTTGAGGCCAGGAGTTCAAGGCCAGCTTGGCCAACATGGTGAAACCACTTCTCTATGAAAAATATAAAAATCAGCCAGGTGTGGTGGCATGTGCCTGTAATTCCAGCTACTTGAGATGCTGAGGCATGAGAATTGCTTGAGCCTGGGAGATGGAGATTGCAGTGAGTTGGGATCACACCACTGCACTCCAGTCTGAATGACTGAGTGAAACTCTGTTGTCTGAAAAAAAAGAGACATAAGGTCTAAAATTATAAAACTTCTGAGTAAATCTGTGTACTTCTGGGTTAACCAAAGATGTCTTAAATAAAAAAGCAGTCCAGGCACAGTGACTCACACCTGTAATCCCAGCATTTTGAGAGGCTGAGGTGGGTGAATCACCTGAGGTCAGGAGTAAAAGACCAGCCTGGCCAACATGGTAAAACCCCATCTCTACTAATAATACAAAAAACAGTTGAATGTGGTGGTGCATGCCTGTAACTCTAGCTACTCCAGAGGCTGAGGCAGGAGAATCACTTGAACCCGGGAGGTGGAGATTGGAGTGAGCTGAGATCATGCCACTGCACTCCAGCCTGGCAACTGAGTGAGACTCTGTCTTGAAAAAAAAAAGACAACAATACTAAGTTCTGGTGAAGATGTGGAACAACTGGAACTAACATATGCTGCTGCTAGGAATTGGATAAATTTGGCAGCTTCTTACTGCATTAAACATACACTTATTACGTGATCCAGCAATCTCACTCCTACATATTTACCCAGGAGAAAGGAAAACATATGTCCATGCCCACTTCCGCAGCACATACACTAAAATTGGAATGATACAGAGAAGATTAGCATGGCCCTTGCACAAGAATGACATGTAAATCTGTGAAGCATTCCATATTTTTTTTTACACTAAAATTTACTCCAGATGGATTACAGATTTAAACATAAGACCTAACACCATAAAAACCCTAGAAGAAAACCTAGGCAAAACCATTCAGGAAAGAGGTGTAGGCAAGGACCTCATGACTCAAACACCAAAAGCATTGGCAACAAAAGCTAAAATAGACAAATGGGATCTAATTAAACTCCAGAGCTTCTGTACAGCAAACGAGACAATCATTAGAGCTAACTGGCAACCAACAAAAATGGGAAAAAATTTTTGCAATCTGCCCATCTGACAAAGAGGGCTAATCTCCAGAATCTACAAAGAAAATAGATTTACAAGAAAAAAACAATCCCACTCAAAAGTGGGTGAAGGACATGAACAGACACTTTTCAAAAGAAGACCTATATGAGGCCAACAAACATATGAAAAAAAGCGCATCATCACTGGTCATTAGAGAAATCCAAATCAAAACCGCATTGAGATACCATCTCATGCCAGTTAGAATGGTGATCATTAAAAAATCTGGAGACAGGCCAGGCGCGGTGGCTCAAGCCTGTAATACCAGCACTTTGGGAGGCCAAGGCGGGTGGATCATGAGGTCAAGAGATCGAGACCATCCTGGTCAACATGGTGAAACCTCGTCTCTACTAAAAATACAAAACATTAGCTGGGCATGGTGGCATGTGCCTGTAATCCCAGCTACTCAGGAGGTTGAGGCAGGAGAATTGCCTGAACCCAGGAGGTGGAGGTTGCAGTGAGCTGAGATCGCGCCATTGCACTCCAGCCTGGGTAACAAGAGTGAAACTCCGTCTCAAAAAAAAAAAAAAAAAAATCTGGAGACAACAGATGCTGGAGAGGATGTGGAGAAATAGGAACACGTTTACACTGTTGGTGGGAGTGTAAATTAGTTCAACCATTGTAGGAGACAGTGTGGCAATACCTCAAGGACCTAGAAATAGAATTTCATTTGACCAGCCATCTCATTACTGGGTATATATCCAAAGGATTATAAATCATTGTATTGTAAAGATACATGCACACCTATGTTCATTGCAGCACTGTTTACAATAGCAAAGACTTGGAACCAACCCAAATGCCCATCAGTGATAAACTGGACAAGGAAAATGTGGCATATATACACCATGGAATACTATGCAGCCGTAAAAAAATGATGAGTCATATCCTTTGTAGGGACATGGATGAATCTGGAAACTATCATTCTCAGCAAACTGATACAAGAACAGAAAATCAAACACCACATGTTCTCACTCACAGGCAAGTGTTGAACAATGAGAACACATGGACACAGGGAGGGGAGCATCACACACTGGGGTCTGCTGTGGGCGAGGGATAACATGGGGAGAAATGCCGGATATAGGTGACAGGGGGATGGAGGCAGCAAACCACATTGCCATATATGTACCTATGCAACAATCCTGCATGATCTGTACATGTACCCCAGAATCTAAAGTACAATTAAAAAAAAAAAAAAACCTTTAACACACACACACACACAAAAGGAAAACATGTCCATACAAAAAACTGCATGCAAATATTCATTAATGAGCCCCAAAACTGGGAGCATTGAATGATTCTTTCAGAATGCATATCAGCCCTGTCACCTCCTGCTGTAGTGGGGAGAAGGGCAAGGATGAAGTTGGAAGTGGTGCAGGGCCAGAACACACAGGCTGGTCCCTAGGGCTTGGCCTGATGTCATTTGGAAAGGATCACGCTGACTGCTGCGTGGAAAGTCGGCTGAGGAGGTGGGAGAGATGAGGGAGAACGCAAGGGGACTATGGCTGAGTGACACTGGAGTGAAGTGGATGTGCTCTGGGGGTGTGGCATCAGGGCTTGTTGAATGCAGTGGGTGGAGAGTTCCTGACCTCCAAGGCAGGAGTGCAGATGAGGTACTTTTTGTGGGGTAAGGCAGGAGGGGTGTGTCGGGGTGATCGAAGCTGAGTGTAGGTAGGAAGATGGGGAAGGACACAGGGATCGCTGAGGAGGGTGTGGGCAGCTACTCCTGCGGCATCTGATGAAATCAGCAGACACGTCTGTTGGACTTGGCCCTGTGGGCGTCTTGGTGAGTGGACCACCATACCCTTCCTCTCCACGCACAAGATTTCTGAGAGAAGTGAGACAAACTCCAGAAAGGTTTAGAAATGCCTACAGCAGGAGCGCTTGGAAGAACAATGATCTGCCCTCATTTCAGAAAGAAAACTGGCAAATACAAAGGGGTACCTCTGTGCCAGACACTGGTCTAGGTTCTTTACACGTTAACATGCGTATGAAAAAAAAATAAATAAATAAAAATAAAAATTAAAAAAAAAAAAAAAAACATGCGTATGATCTTACCTGTGTTAGACAATCAAACAAATACCGAATGAACAGTTACTGCCAGGGCCCTGGGGCCAGAGCAGCTGCTCTGTCTGGGACAAGAGGCCTTGGTCCCACCCCAGCCCACTTAGCTGTTGATTGGCTATATGACTTTGAGAAATCCCTTTTAAACTCTCTGAGCCTCAGTTGTATTTTTAAAGTTTAATTTGAATGTAATTTTGAACTTACAGAAACTGTACATGAAAAGAATGAGAAGCTGCCGCCGGTTCACACTGCCTGTCACCTCCCTCTGTGTTGCCCCATGCTGGGACATGGTGCTTCTCACCCCTGGACACACACAGGGCTTTTCCCCAATTGACCATATCTCTTGTGTGACCAAAACATAGCTGTCCAAACCAGAACGTGCCCTCTTCAGGTGTCCCCAGCTGTCCCTACTGCTCTCTCCTTCCTCATCCCCTTAGGCCCCATGACAGCCTGGGTGCAGCTGCTGGCACCACAAATGGCTGAATCTGGGCCTAATGCTGCGTGTCCATGATGAGGTGATGCTGGGTTGGGAGCCCCACAGAAATACTGCTGTGTGTGCCTCAGACACGGCCACACCACTGCGCTCCATGGGATGTCCTGAGACCACTGTCCGCTTCCCAGTCCAAGACTCTACAATGGCTCATGGCTACACCAATGACAGTGAGGGTCCCAAAGGTTGACTTTCCATTGCCATCATTCCTCTCGCATCTGTTGGCTTTCTACCAGCAGAAAGAGCCTCCTCTCCCTTATTCATTTGTATCAGTAACCACTTGAACATCATGACCCATGGTGATCTTAAACAGGTTACAGCCTGTGGAATAAACAAGTGATTTATTTATTCCACAGGTTGTAACGTTTAAGATCACCATGGGTCGTGATGCTCCAGCCCCCAGGTCTGGCCAGTATGAGCCCGTACAAACTGCTCCTGGGTTTTTCTAACACAGCCCCACCATTCTTTGAGGTCTTTCTGCTCTCTGGCATCACCAGCTACTCTGGGCTCATTTTGTGCTTCCCTGCCCAGCTCTGGAATCAAAGGAGCTGACAGTATTTACAAACCAGGACCTGGTTTGCTCCTGGAGCTTCATTACTTCTAGGGCCTGTCAGTGGAAAGAGCTAGGAAGGACGCGCTGGTGTGCGCACGTGCATGAGCCACCTGCAGCTGCTTCCACCCGTCTGTGCACACCCACAATAAACACAGGCACGAGCTTTCCCAGACACTTCAGTCCAGCTCCTTTGACATCTGTCAGTCGCTCTGCTGCTGGGGAGGGACTGCATCCCTTCACCCTCAATGTATCACTTGTTTGATCAGGTGATTTACAGTCTCCCAAGAGTGCCTGCTGTCCCCTTGCAGCCTGCTCCTTTGGGGGCCATGGAGTGTGACACGGAGCTGACACGGCGCAGTCATCCATCTGACACAGAGTTTCCCGGGCCTAATATCAGGCCAGGCACCTTTGTCCTTTTGGTCACAGCGTGGTGTTTAAACGAGGGCTTATACCCCTGTGGGGAGGCGAGATGGGGTTTTCAGGTTCTCAAGAGCTCTAACACGGCAAGGACTGGCTATTTGAGGGAAATTCTGGAGAAGAAGTGCTTCATATCATCACAATCATTTGAAGTAACAACTATCCACTGGCAGCACCAGAAGTCCCCTTTGGAAATTTCCTGATTGGCACAACTAGCAGAAGAGAGTCCCTCAGTGACACACCATCTGACTGAAATGTTAACAGAAATCCCAGGCTACAGGGCTGGACAAAGGTGCCTGACTTTTAAATCTTCTGATTACATACAGGACAGGAAGACTGTATCATTGTGTGGATTTTTAACCGGTTTTTCTAGACTCGACTTGTGTTTTTGAAGTAAACACGTCCATGCAGTGATACACGCAGAACGGAATGCAGTCTGCTTGTATCACTGCTACTTGTTTGTGTGCTGCTGAATTGCCTCCTGTAAACCATATTAGCCTCATTTTCCTGGATGTGGTCCTGAGGCTCGGACACACAAACACAGACCCAGCAACACACACGTCTGCCCCCAAGAGTCGTCTGGTTGGTAAGAAACAAGGGAGCACAGCAGCTTGCTGCCTCAGGAGGCATCGGACCCACTTGTCTGACCCTGTGTGGGGGTGGAAGTCAGAGATCAGACGCCCTCAGTGGATGAACATGGGTGTCCAGGAAGGACCCCTCAGGGGACCTGTACTGTAGGAACCATCCACGAAAATAACTGGGAACAGCTGAGGAGCTCTGTTAAAAAGATTGCTTGTCCATAGGGAGTTAAACAATGTGTCCTAAATATTGCTTAGTAAAACAAACAACCAGAAAAGCCTCTCTGTTCCAAACCCATGGTGGGTCATCAACATGGGAGAGTTGGAATGTCATTGCAGCACTTTGCCGCAGAAATAAAAACACAGCCCCCACCAGAAGGGATGGCCGACCCGGCCCAGCCAAGGCATGATTTGTGCTGTATTTCTGGTAGTGACTGACACCCCAGAACCCTCACAAAAGCTTCTGCCAAACATTCTCCATGTGCCCTAGCCCCGGTGGGGCGGCCCGGCCCTCAGCACTTACCTCATCTCCGGACCTTTGAAGAAGACAAGCCGAGAGCCTCTATCCTTCCTTTACCCAACTTTTCTTGTTTGTACAGACTTGGGAAGAACTAGGGAAA